GTCTGGGGACAGTCCTGTGGGTGCCAGGGTCTGGGGACAGTCCGATGGGTGCTAGGGTCTGGGGACAGTCCTGTGGGTGCCAGGATCTGGGGACAGTCCTGTGGGTACCAGGGCTTCTCTGCATCCCTTCCCCCACAGGTTGACAGAGCCGCTCCCTGACTCTCTGACCACATGGGAGATTCACGGTGTGAGCCTGTCCAAAAGCAAAGGTGAGGTGGCGCCCGTCCCGACCTCTTCTCATTCCCCCTGACCCTGCTCAACTGGCTGCTCCCTGCATGGGGGGCAAAGCCCATGGATTTGGGAAAAATCTTCCCTGGCTTGCATGCAGCCAGAGAGCAGAGGGAAGTCATTCCCAGACCCTTCCTCCCTGTGGCCTGAGGTCCATCTCTGTCCTTGCCCCATCTCCCTGTCCACAGGCCTGTGTGTAGCCAAGCCAATTCGTGTTCGAGTGTTCCGAGATTTCCACCTGCACCTGCGCCTGCCCGTCTCCGTCCGCCGCTTTGAGCAGCTTGAATTGCGGCCTGTTCTCTACAACTATCTGAATATTGACGTGATTGTGAGTCCTCATGGGAGCCGGAGCATCCAGGGCAAGGGGTAGGGCGGGGTGCAGTCAGGGACAGGTCAGACAGTGGTCCTGCTCCGATTAGGGCTCCCTGGCCATCCCTGTCTTCCTGTCCCCAGGTGAGTGTCCATGTGTCCCCCATGGAGGGGCTGTGCCTGGCTGGCGGTGGAATGCTGGCCCAGCAGGTGACAGTGCCTGCAGGCTCTGCCAGGCCTGTGGCCTTCTCTGTGGTACCCACAGCTGCTGCCAGCGTGTCCCTGAAGGTGGTGGCCCGAGGGGTTTTTGATATATCGGATGCTGTGTCAAAGATTCTCCAAATTGAGGTGAGTAACTACCTAGAAATCTAGTCCTCCCACCCCCGGGCTCCCAGCCAATAACATTCCGATGGCCAGACCCTGGTTCAGCACTCAGTGCATGGATAAACTTACAATCCACTGTTGTGACTCAGCTGTGTCCCTGAAGTTGTTTACTTATATTGAGACAGAGGCTAACTGTATAGCCCAGGCTTGCCTCAAACTCACTCTGTAGTCCAGGCTGGCCTTGAACATTCAGTAATCCCCCTGCCTTTGCCTTTGGAATTACTGGTGCTACAGGCACTCGCTGTCACACCCAGCTGCCTCTGAAACGGCTTATTCTGCTTTATTTTATTTTTGTGCTCATGGGGGTTAAGCCCAGGACCTTGTACATGGTGGAGAAGTGAGCTGTGTCCCTGTTTCCATCTATGACGTTCACACGCCAAAACCCAGGGGTGTCTACCCAGGAGAGGAAGGTGTAGCCTTGGCTAATCCCCTACTCCATTTTTCCATTGAGACAGAAGGAAGGGGCCATCCACAAAGAAGAGATAGTCTACAACCTCGACCCTCTCAGTGAGTGCCCACTTCCCCAACCACCAGTACCCTAGGGGAGTTATGGGGCCCAGGGGCCCCGCCCACCAGTTCCTCTCCTCTGTCTAGGAGGCCGGAGTTTGGAAATTCCTGGCAGCTCCGATCCCAACATCATCCCTGACGGAGACTTCAGCAGCTTTGTCAGGGTTACAGGTGGGTGTCGGGTCCAGACCTTTCCCATGAGCCCCTGCATTCACCTGAAGCCCTGTTCTAGTCTTCTCATCTCCAATGTCTCTGTCCTTTAGCCTCCGAACCCTTGGAGACTTTGGGCTCTGAAGGCGCCCTGTCCCCAGGAGGCGTGGCCTCCCTCCTGAGGCTTCCCCGGGGCTGCGCAGAACAAACCATGATCTACTTGGCCCCTACCCTGACTGCTTCCCACTACCTGGACAGGACAGAGCAGTGGAGCAAACTGCCCCCTGAGACAAGGGACCATGCTGAGGATCTGATCCAGAAAGGTTCCGAGTTCAGGGAAAGCCGGAGTCAGAGCCAGGGAGGGCGGGGCTGTGCTGGGAGTACGGGGGTGGGGGGGGTGGGGGGGAGCAGACAGCAGGAGAGTAGGAACCTTGGCACCTCTTCTTTCCCAGGCCACATGCGGATCCAGCAGTTTCGGAAGAGAGATGGCTCCTTTGGGGCGTGGTTACACCGGGACAGCAGTACCTGGTGAGGCTGGGGGACTCCGTTCAGGGCAGCCGGAGAGTAAAAAGCCACAAGTTGTCCAGAGAGACGAGCGTTGTCTCCATCCATCTCCACCCCCTCCGTCCACTCCACTCTAGGCTCACGGCCTTTGTGCTGAAGATTCTGAGTTTGGCCCAGAAACAGGTAGTCGACTCCCCCGAGAAGCTGCAGGAGACGGCCGCCTGGCTACTGACCCAGCAGCTGGGCGACGGCTCGTTCCACGACCCGTGTCCAGTCATCCACAGAGGCATGCAGGTGTGAACATGCCAGAGACACGGTGAGGATGTCAGCAGAAAGATGGGACTCCTCACGGCTCTGGCCTGACAGCCTCTGTCTCTCCTCACCAGGGGGGCTTGGTGGGGACCGACGAGACGGTGGCGCTGACCGCCTTTGTGGTCATTGCCCTGCACCACGGGCTGGCCGTCTTCCAGGATGAGAATGAGCAGCAGCTGAAGAACAGTGTGGTAAGGAAGCGGCGGTCCGTCCTTCCTGCCCGGCCGTCCTTGCCCTGGGAGCCCGGGCATGCAGGGCTCAGCCTCCGCTCTCTTCTAGGAAGACGCTATCATCAAGGCAAACTTGTTCTTGGGGCAGAAGGCAAGTGCTGGGCTCCTGGGTACGCACGCAGCGGCCATCACAGCCTACGCCCTGACGCTGACCCAGGCTTCGGAGGACCTGCGGAATGTTGCCCACAACAACCTGATGGCCATGGCTGAAGAAACAGAGGGTGAGTGCGAGGGCACCCTGAACAGAGACTGAAAAGGCCTCAAGAGAAAGGGTCTCTCACGTGGAGTGGAAACAGGGGTGGCCGACAGGGGGCGCCAGAGAGCCAGGCGGCTTGTTCAATATGCATTTCCCTCCCTTCCAGAAAGCCTCTACTGGGGCTTAGCCATTGGCTCCCAGGACAACATCGTACCGCCCAAGGCAGTCCCCGGTAGCCCATCACAACCTGTGCCCCAGGCCCCAGCCCTGTGGATCGAAACCACAGCCTACGCCCTGCTCCATCTGCTGCTTCGGGAGGGGAAGGGAGAAATGGCCGACAAGGCCGCATCCTGGCTCACCCACCAGGGGAGCTTCCACGGGGGATTCCGCAGTACCCAGGTAGGGGCAGCCACACGGCTCTGGGTAGGCGGTTCTGAGACTAAGCGCCCGACTCCTGCCCTAACCTCCTTAGGACACTGTGATCACCCTGGATGCCCTGTCTGCGTACTGGATCGCCTCGCACACCACCGAGGTGAAGGAACTCAACGTGACGCTCAGCTCCATGGGCCGCAGTGGGGTCAAGTCCCACGAGCTGCATCTGAACAACCATCAAGTCAAGGGCTTGGAGGAGAAGCTGAAGGTGACCTCCTCCCTCCCTGATGGGGTTGCTGGGGGGGCGGGGTGGAGGATCTGGACCAGGTCAGAAGCCTCTCTCCAGCGCCCAGTCCAGCCCTCTCCTGAGGGTGCCGTGGGAAGACTGACCTACTTCTGGCCGTGTGGTCAAACCTCTGGGTCCTCTTCCCTCATCTGTAAAACAGCGTGTCTGTAGAGTACACACCAGGGTCTGGGTCAGCGGTTCTCAACCTTCCTAACACTGTGACCCTTTAATACAGTTCCTAATGTCGTGGTGACCCCCAACCGTGAATTTCGTTGTTACTCGATAACTGTAATTCCGCTACTGTTATGAATTGTAATATCTGATATGCAGGATATCTGACAGACAACTCCCAAAAGGGGTCACGACTCACAGGGTTGAGAACCGCTGGTCTAGGAGTTTGCAGATTGATACTGTAGCCAAGTACAAGATTCTGGGACAGAGGGGGCGGGCACCCTCGTCTGCTCTCCTGTGCCTTCTGACCTGCTTTCCTTTCCTTCCTGGAAGTTCTCCCTGGGCAACTCGATCAATGTGAAGGTGGAAGGAAACAGCAAAGGCACCCTGAAGGTGAGGGGCGTGGAGAGTGGGGGGTGGGGGCAGCAGGGTGTAGGGGGCAGTGGGGGGTAAGGGGGCAAAGGGTGCTGGGGTGGGGATGGGGTGCTGGACACGGGGTACCAGGGTTGGGTGAGGTAGAGCAGTGGGGTGTGAGGGGGTGGGGTGGGAGTGGGCAGTGGGTGAGGTGGGGTGGGGAGCTGGGCCTTGACTGGGACTTTGTGGGCGGAGCTTGTGTGTTGGGGAGGAGGAGGCCATCTCTGTCTTGGTGCCCCTTTCCTTTCCTGAGCCTCCATCTTTGCTCTGGTCTGGTTTTCCTCCATTTCTGGGCATCTGCTGTCTCCTTCAGCTCCACAGCCTGGTTCTCAGCCCAGGCTTGTCCCATGTCCTGAGTACCTCAGACATAGGTCCCCGTGCCCCGTTTCTTTCTATATGCCTCATTTGACCCAAGGAAGGTCTTCCACCTATGAGGCTCACTGCCTCCCCAGAGATGTCTTGGTAGCCTCCCTCCTCTGGCCCACTGCCTGGGGAAATGTGCCCCTTCCAGCATGAAAGTGGAATCAGGAGGACCAGTGGCCCAAAGTTGTCTTTGCTGTGTGCCGAGTGCGAGTGCAGCGTGCCTAGGCTATAAGAGAAACCAGGAGCACTGCAGCTTTCTGGCAGACTGGGCTCTCAGGGAGGCAATGCCTCCTCACTGCAGCTGCCACGCTTCCTCACTGCAGCTGCCACGCCTCCTCACTGCAGCTGCCATGCCTCCTACTGCAGCTGCCACGCCTCCTACTGCAGCTGCCACGCCTCCTCACTGTAGCTGCCACGCCTCCTCACTGCAGCTGCCACGCCTCCTCACTGCAGTGGCCCCACCTCCTCACTGCAGTGGCCCTGCCTTCTCACTGCATCTTACCCAGCTCATATGCCGGGCTACTCACTGTTGTTGGGGATGGGGGAAGGGGGAAGTTGGGGCCATAGATCCTTCAGCCCAGGAGACCCCCTCAAATCTGTGCCAAATGTGTCCTGTGCTCTGCCCCGTCTCTGAGCCAGATCCTTCGTACCTACAACGTCCTGAACATGAAGAACACGACATGCCAGGACCTTCAGATAGAAGTGACGGTCACAGGCTATGTGGAATACACAAGTAAGGCCTGGGGTCAGGGAGCCTTGACCGACCCCTGCAGGGCTGACACGGGCCGGGGCGTCTCCCTCCTCAACACTGCCCTGCACAGGGGAAGCCAACGAAGACTACGAAGACTACTACGACATGCCAGCCGCAGATGACCCCAGCGTCCACTCGCAGCCAGTGACGCCCCTGCAGCTGTTTGAGGGTCGCCGGAACCGCCGCAGGAGGGAGGCCCCCAAGGTGGCAGAAGAGCAGGAGTCCAGAGTGCAGTACACCGTGTGTATCTGGTGGGTGCCGCGTGTGTCTGGGGGAGAAGGGTGCTGGGAAGAGACTGGGCGTGGCTCCGAGGTGTGGCACAGCTCGAGAGTCTATACAGCAGGCCCCCCTCCCTGTAGGCGCAATGGCAAGCTGGGGCTGTCTGGCATGGCTATCGCAGACATCACCCTCCTGAGTGGATTCCACGCCCTGAGGGCCGACCTGGAGAAGGTACAGCCACCCACAGCCACCTCTGTATCCTTAAGAACCCTGCTCCCTCTCTGTAGCAACGCCAAGTGTTGAACCCGGTCACGCAATGACCAGGGTCTCTGACCTTTGATCCCCACATTCCCTGCAGCTGACCTCCCTGTCTGACCGATACGTGAGTCACTTTGAGACTGACGGGCCCCATGTCCTGTTGTACTTCGACTCGGTGAGTGGAGAGAAGTTTCACAGGAGGGGAAGCCGTGGCACTGGGTTCTTGAGTCTGTGTGGTCAGATGATGTGGCAGATGACGAGGGCCAGGCACGAGGAGATGGCCAGGAGACAGAGGGCCTTAGGGAACTCACAGGTCCTCCCACACGTCACTGCGAGGCTGGGTTTATGGGGAGCCACGGGGAGGCGGAGACCACCGTGGACACTGGCAGGGGAACAAGGGCCTGCTCAGGCGCGCTCTCCTGGGAAGGGGCGGGGGGCGGGGCCAGGGATTGATCCAGAGGCTGACCCACATCATAGAGGATCTCGCAGGAATGTGTACCCGTAGTGAGACTCCACGGAGGTCCTGGGACAAGGTCACCGTATTGGCAGTGAAGATATCAGAGACCTTGGGGACCAGATTTTAGAGTCTAGTGGCAGGAAGATGACAGCATGAAGATAAGGTCACGGGTAACCAGGCCGAGGCAAAGCTTGGCCCTGAGCAGACTTCCGTCCCGGGGCCAGGTGCCAACCACCCGGGAGTGTGTGGGCTTCGGAGCCTTGCAGGAGGTGGCCGTGGGGCTGGTGCAGCCAGCCAGCGCTGTCCTGTATGACTACTACAATCCCGGTGAGCACTTGGGATGCTTTGGCAAGCAAGACTGCGGGGGTTGGCCCTCTCATGGGGACACCTCGAGGCGGGGAGGCCTGAGCTCCGTGAGACCCTCGTCGCTTGCTGCCTTTCTCTAGATCACAAGTGTTCTGTGTTTTATGCCGCGCCCACCAAGAGCAAGCTCCTGTCCACCTTGTGCTCTGGAGACGTCTGCCAGTGCGCCGAGGGTGAGGAGACCCCGGGTGGGGCTGGGAAAGGGCTGGGAGGAAGAACTGGGTCTCACCTGACACTTGACTGCAGGGAAGTGTCCTCGGCAGCGACGCGCGCTGGAGCGAGGGGTGGAGGACAGGGATGGCTACCGGATGAAGTTCGCCTGCTATTACCCCCGAGTGGAGTATGGTCAGTCCCCGCTCGGCCTTCGTTCTCCTTGGCACCGGCTTCTCCTCGGGGCTGCTGGCTCTTCCCACACCCCCACCTGTGTCCTCCCTGCTTTGCTCTGACTGCCTTCCCCTTTCCTGTCCCTCCCAGGATTCCACGTTAAGGTTCTCCGAGAAGATGGCAGAGCTGCCTTCCGCCTCTTTGAGACTGAGATCATCCAAGTCCTGCATTTCAGTAGGAAGAAGGAGTGGGCAGGCGGGCGGGTGGGCTGGGGACTGTGGAGGCTGAGGTCTGGGTGTGGGGCCTCTTGGAACTGTGAAAATTCAAAGTCCCCTGGTCTTTGGGAACCTGGGCTTGCTCATAAGCAGGGAACTTTTGTCGGGAGCACACTGGGTTAAACAGCAGGATCTACACAGAGTCCTGTCCTGGGTTTCTCCTGGCCTTCTCCTCTGATGTCTCTGTTGCTTTATTTCCTCAGCAAAGGACATCAAAGCGTCCATAGGTCAGACCCGCAACTTCCTGGTCCGGGCCTCTTGCCGCCTTCGTTTGGAGCCTAGCAAAGAATACTTGATCATGGGGCAGGACGGGGTCACCAATGACCTCAAGGGAGAGTGAGTCACTCAATCCCTCCCTTGCTCTCCTCATACCTGTGGCCTTCCTTCGGGGATGGATCCTAGGCACCTAGCTCTTCCTCTCCAAAGCCAAGTGCCCTGAGTACCTGTCCTGACCCCCTCTGTGTCACCTGCAGCCCCCAGTACTTGCTGGACTCAAATAGCTGGATCGAGGAGATGCCTTCTGAACGCCTGTGCAAGAGCACCCGCCAGCGGGCAGCCTGCGCCCAGCTCAACAACTTCCTAAACGAGTACAGCAGCCAGGGGTGCCAGGTGTGAGGGCGTAGGACTCTGGTTCCCTGAGCTCAGCCCCAGGGTCAGGGCCTCTCTGGATGAGGGGCTCTGCTTTACAGGGTAAATTAAATAAAAGCTTTTGACAGCAAAGTGCCCCTGCGTGTCTGTTTGGAGATACGGCAATCCACCACCCACCCAGGGTTTGCAGGCCTAAGCCTTGGGCTGTGAAGCATTGCCTGAACCATCCCTGAGGTCTTCCTAGGACTCAGGCCATCCTGGGGCCCCATAGCCAGTGCCCCCATGTGCCTGTTGCTGGGTGTCACAGTCACCGTACCCTCAGGAACACCTCTCCTCTTCAGCTGTCGAACTCCGCCTTGTGTCGTTGGGGTCCTGGGGTCTGGTGACTTGACTATGTCATGTTGCAAGCCTATTGACCTTGTTATCAGTGGCATTAGGCAACTTTTCTGGAGTTGTGCAACCGTCCGGTCTGATGTGAGTCATCCAGACAGCGATTTTAAACAGGACAAAGGTTGACTGTGTTTATTCCTGAATATTCAAGGGGAAACACATCTTGCAGGGCCAACCCTCCCCATCTTGTCTGCCTACCTTCCACCCACCTAGGTGGCACATTTGGTTGTTCAT